CAGGGACCTTAATTTTGATTGGAACTTTGGAATCATTCATATTTGGTTATAATTTTTAGTTATGTCAACTAGAAAATTGAGTCATGTTGTTCCAAGCAAAAAAATGGAGCAATCGTGATATTTACTTATTTTTATTTCAAATAATATGAGACGCATGTTATTCTTAAACAATAATAGATGAAATTATTGCTTTTGTAATAATTTTATGAACTTATGTCTTTTTATTATTATTTACTAATTTTAATCTTTATAAATTTACAGAAAAAATTTAGGGTCACATTTTTAATTTTTGAACAGGGTCTCCAAATATAATGGGCCGGCCCTAATCAGAGCATTCTCGAAGCCGTACTCATTCTCATTTTCATTAACATCCTTGCATCAATTACAGATCATGCAACGGTACATTTTGTAGGATTTAGGTGAAAGAATTAAACATAAGATATGCCATTCCTCAAAATGCATCTCCCGTCAAATTATCAAAGGTTATTGGTAGGAATACCTGGATTCATGGTGATAGATCGTCGAGAACTTGGTGTAGAACCTGTAGAACGATATTTAACCGTGTGATACCTTCAAGAGCATGATCTGAGATGTTTTGCAGCCTTTCTCAACCAAGTTGTCTCAGTTCCTCTAGGAGAGAGCTCTCATCTTCCTGATGAGGAGAAAATGAGAATTTGTTAGCTTCTTAGTGTGTTGGGGACCATAACCTTTAAGTCTCCTTATATACTAGTTTTAGTTTACCAAGGCTCCCATAAAACCTTAGTAAGCAAGTATTGAGATTTCACTCATTGGGCCCATATTGAGTTTCATTAGACTTGGGTTTCTTATTTGGATCACTTACAATTACCTAATAACCAAATAACTAACATATAATTGTATATATATAAAATATGTGGCCCACAATTATAATTAGGAATAAAATTTTCTAACAATCTCCCACTTGACCTGCATATTTTTTCTTGAAACAATTATATGAAAAAATTCTTTAGGCGCGCAACCGTATGCTATTTGTACAACGACTACTTCTTGACAATCTGGTCCACCTCATGTATCAATTATGGAACCAACGCGGCTTTAATCACGATATGATAATGATTAAGCCACCATGATCACCATACTAATACACTCAATGATATAGATCAAATATGGATGAGTGACATGAAAATTACATGCAATGTGATCTTGAACATGCCTATTTTCAACTGGTCCAACTTCCGTCCTTAACGAGATCAACTTAAATTCCTTCATACAATGTGACCACTGTATACTTGAAGGCACTTTAAATTCCAAAATAGACTTCAAAAAGATATCACCTTATTATGCAGAAATTGATTTAGTAATAATCTATTGAGCATTCATAAATGACTCCCGCTAAACCAATGTATTATCCAGAATAACACTCATGTGAGCAATGTGCTCTTGAAAAACTTTATGTGTCAAACCTCTGGCTAATGGTAAGCTAGCATTAGTCATGTCCTTAATGTTCAATAGAAACATGTCTATTTTGGAGCTTATCTTTAACCATACAGAGTTTTATGTCAATAACTTTTGACTTCTGAATTTCCAAGGTAAAGATAGCGTACCACTATCAAAACATTTTCAATGTTAATCTTTAATGACTTGTCATTGTCATACGAGTGACAAAATCTCAAGAAAGAACATAAATGGAAGCCTCATAACAAGCTATCAACTCTACCCAACACAAATTGTATTCTGATGTAGAGTTCATGTAGCATTGGCATCCTACAACATCATAGTCAAAGTACTTGATGATCTCTAAATTATCTGATCACAAATAAGTTTGCTTGTATTCTTTTATCATCTTTAGTAAAGGCATTACACGTTTGAATCTTTATAGTGTTTCATGCAAGATCACTCAAAATACATGCCAAATACTCTTAACCATAAATTCTATATTGGGATGAGAATTAACTAAACTGGTTGAGATTGAACCATCTCCTTTAGCTACGACACTTCTCTTGATTTTCAACCTTTCATGTGAAGTCTACTCAAACCTTATTGATATAACTCTTTCGAATTTGAGTATACATTGAGAATGATCTCTCAACGACTCAATACCGAATACAAAAGAGGTGAGACCAAGATATCTTATCTCAAATTTCTTTTATAGAAATCTTGAAAAATAAGTTAAAATGAAGAGGATAAGAGTCAATTAAGAAAACTAAAGAAAATAAAAAGTTATTAATTCCCACCATTTACGTAAGGAGTCCACTTAAAATGAAAAGTCCAAATTTAGTTATACAAGGTTATGACTTATACAGTATATATAGAGTTATGCAACGTACCGTGACCCGAGACAGTATCAAATTAGGTCCATACTTATTTTTTATTAACTAATAATTTTATAAGGGTGTCTTACTTCCTTGCCAACCAATTATACATTATGAAGAATCGCCTAATTAATAATTAATTAGACACACAGTGACTTCATGGATGACATAAGTTCACACTTAGACCTCCAATCAAAGAGAAGAAGGAATCAATGCATTCGTTTATTCATTCAAAGGCTATATTAAAATCCTCGTCGTCTCCAATACTTTCTTTGCAAGTAAACGTCATAAGAATGAACCGGTATCTGGCTCACTAACACCCTTCTGTGTCGTTTATACCATCTAAGATCCTTATCAAATAGATGACAATTAATTTTTTTTTTTTTTAATATTTTCTTGACTATATTTTTCATTTTACGTTGGACATCTATTGATATTCATTTTGTAAGGAAAAATCCACGTATGAATATATGAATCAAATACCCCAAATATTTCCTAAATTAATTTTTTCTATGGAAACTAACTTAATATTTTAATATCACACAATCAATATGTTTTCTCTATTATAAAGTATATATCACATTCACACTACAACAAAACTGCATATTAGCAACCCTTCTAAGTTCTATGTCATTTACAGCTTGCAGAGCTCACTGTCAAAGGTCACGGCCGTGACATTGACAAAAGTCGTGAGATCGGCCTAAACACGTTGTTTTGTCCCTTGGAATGTCCCAAATCGCCTCTGGATCAAAAGTCACGGTTAAACCGTGAGATTTGAAAATGCCCTCGAAATGCAGGTTTGTTGTTGGGACTGTGAATCTCACAATTTGGGTGCAAATCGCACCCTCTGAAACCATGAGAATTACACTAAACCTGCGAGCTTTTGCACAGGTAAAGTCGTAAAGGTGAGCACACATAAGTTGATGAAAAATTACAATTACTTGACCAAAAAGTTGTTGATTTCACTTGTTTGGGGCACAACCCACTAAAGGACTCCAGGGATTAGAGCTTTAGGTGGTTGATTGGATGCTTGACGATTAATTCAATTAATTATATACTAAAAAGGAAATTTGGATGCAATGCCATTGATTCAATTACTAGAATAAGATCCCTTGGCATCATACCATATTAGTGTGAGTACATTAATAGGTTCATTGCAAATTGAATTCATACCTAGAGCTAAGGAAATTCTCATCCCAAGTGTATCTTCTCAACCTTTGAGCACATAATTTACTTCGTTTTTATTTCCTTTTGTTAGCTTACACTTACAACTTACTTACAAGTAACTGAGAATCCAAGAGATCGATTGGTTAGATAGTAGTAAAACTCAGAGTAGCACTGCATATCTAGACGACCTGAGAAATACGACACTGGAACGCTTATCATCATTAAACGTAATTAAGCTTAGGAAGATATTAATGCCCTTCCACAATTGAGCTGCGTGACACGATGAGTCATTAATCCAACCAAACCCGACCCATAACCCACCTCTCATGATCTTTAGCAGCCCACAATTATCTGATCATCTCATGTCATGATCAACCCCACAACTCTACTCACCCCGTAACCCATAATTTTTAACGATTAGTTTATATGGTCATTGTGTTGTCATAAATAAACTGCGGATATATATTTAAAAAATGCCCTCGCGAATGTCAACTTTCCTTCCTTGGGCAGTACGAAGAAATTTGTTCCATGTAAGCAAAGATAAGAACTTCCCACCCAAAAAAAAGACAATCCAGAAAGGATCGGACACTGCATTGCGTAACCTACTGCCGCGTTGCCTCGTGAAAGAGCTCAAAATTAATAGCGTCATTAATTGTTGGAAAAATTTATTTGAAAAACATAGACATTTCGTTTGACATGTTTTGAGAGAGAGGTAAGACGAGGATATGGGTATTCTCACCTATCCGACCATTAACCTGTCTCATTCTTGATTCGTTTTTATCTAAATTATATTCTAATGTTAGTCAAATTACTTAGAATTTTCCTTTTATTACATCATATTTTAGCTATAATAAAATTGTGAATTAAAGAAAACTTCAATTTTTTCAATAATTTAACTATATTTATCATATTTATGGTTTGTTTCTTGGTCTTATAATGAAAATAACGAATATTTCCAGTGTTCTTCATATAAATTACTCATTCGATCCACCTGCTACGACGCGCGTTCCGACATGAACCCAACCTGCCACATGGCGTGTATGAATATTGAGATAACCTCCCTAATTCTAATTAGGGCTGGCTATTTGGCCCGGACTGCTTAGTTTTACCGGAAACCGGACCGGGACCGGACTGGGACCGAATAGCAAACAATCCAATCTCATATTCGGGTTTAGATTTGAGGTAAAACACCGGATAAGAGACCTCCAACATCTAAAATCAAGATCAAATTGGGACCGGACCGGGTCAAGACCAAACAGGATCAAGACCGGACTGTATCCAATCCAATCTTTGGTCCTTATATTCTCGAAAAGACCGGACTGGAACCGAATCAATTTGGTCCATTTTAACCGGACGGGACCGTAATAGCCACCCCTAATTCTAATTCCTATCGTCTACTTCTTACTATATATATACACACATATGGCAAGTCCACCCTAATCAAATACATAACATAATATATGAGCTGAGAAAAAAATTAGAATGGCGCGCATGGTCGGCAGAGATAATGAGATCGAGTCGCTCAGAATCGAGTTGGCCGAAATGGGAAGAAGCCTCCGGCAACTGCAGCTTCCGGCGGCGGCGGCGGCGGCGGCGGGTGGCCCTCCTTCCTCTTCCTCCTCCTCGTTCCGGCGCCACAGCCGGAGCTCTTCCGTGTCTTCAAGCTTCCGGAGGGACCGATACTGCGATGACGTGGAGTTGACGGAGGATGAGGTCAGCAACGTTGCCCTCCAGTGGGCGGCGGTGGAGAGGCTCCCGACTTTCGAGCGCCTCCGCTCCTCTCTCTTCCTCCACGGTGGTGGGAAGGGCGCGGCGGCGGCGGCGGTGGTGGACGTGAGGAAACTGGGCGGGCTGGAGAAGCATGTGTTCATGGAGAAGCTGATCCAGAGGATCGAAGACGACAACCTTCGGTTGTTGCAGAAGATTAGGAACAGAGTAGACAAGTAATAATAAGCTCCTCTCTTTAATTCCATTTCTTTCTCGTCAAAAAAGAAAATTCGATTTATAGCGATCAATTGATTTTATGACACAGTAGTATATCATAGCTGGTTTGTTTTTTTAAGGTTACGTGTGTGTCCGTTGTCTTAAAATACATGCTGTAAAAGATCTGTACAAACTTCAAGTCTGTGAGTCGACTTTTGCGTTTTATCGCAGAGTTGGGGTGAGGTTGGAGAGGGTGGAGGTGAGGTTCAGAGACGTTGGTGTGGAAGCAGAGTGCAAGGTGGTCAACGGGAAACCACTTCCAACGCTGTGGAATACGCTGCTGGGAGGAGTGTCTGTAAGTCGATAATTATTCCCTATTTTATAAATCTATATGTGTTGTCACCAGTTTAAATTATTTAACTTTGGCATTACTTGTGGCTAATTTTTAAGTTAATTGTGATACTGAGATAATTAATGTGGCTAATTAATCATGCTCCTTATTCTACAAGGACTTTGCGGCCAAGTTGCCGTTCTTCGAGCCACGGAAAGCAGAACTTCAAATCATCCACAATGTTAGTGGCGTCATTAAGCCTGGAAGGTAGGCAACTGAATGGCATGATGAAACATGTCTGGTACATTAAATATATCATATAGTACTGCACATTATATATGTCTTTTATATTTATTATCTTTCATATTAACAATATGCTGGAGTTAAACCGATCACAATGCTCATTAGTCATTAGTATCGGTGCTTTCATTTAAAAAAGATATTATTTATGATGTAAATTAAACATGTATATTTAACATTATGGTACAGAATTTATATATTTTCATACAAAAATCGTTATAATACAGGAAAAAAAAACTTATATATTTAACGATACGATATAACCTCGACTCGACTAGTAAGTAGACGTGGTCAAACTAAACCACGTACTCCCAAGTCCCACCAGGCAACAAGAGGTCCAATGGCTAGGCGTGGGGTATTGGTGAATTATAGATTTTCCGGCTTAGTTCTTAGATTGGTATAATTGTCGAGTCTTTGTATTAATTATTATGATTATTTGTTATTTTGGGATATTCCATTTAGTTCTTACTTTGGATTAATTATCTATTTTTAATCTAGGGATTGGATTAATTATTATTGATTGATTCTTGCATAGGAAATAGTCAAATTAATTTAGGATTAGGTGAGGGTAATTAGAAGAAAAAAGAAATTGGTTTTATATCTATAAATTTATATAATTCTGCTCTTAATTTTTATACTTAATAAAAAAGTCATTTATTCTCTTAATATTATGTGTTAAAGAAAATTAGTTTATTAATTAGTTTATCGTAGATTTTTTATATATAACATAAAAAGAGTTTTTTCTAACAATGACATCACTAATCTTGAATATGATCATTCCATATTCTAATCTCTTAATCTCTTATATGTGGTGGTTTTTTTGCAGGTTAACTCTGTTGCTTGGACCGCCTGGCTGTGGGAAGACTTCCCTCCTAAAGGCTTTGTCAGGGAATCTCAGCCCTTCTCTCAAGGTTGGTTCCACAGCTCTCAACCCAAATTGAAGGTTAATTGATTCTGAAGGATTAATGGCTAATCAATCAATAGTTTTGACATAAAAAAAAAAAACAAAATCCTCAGGTTCATGGTGAGGTTTGTTACAATGGGTACAAGCTGGATGAGTTTGTGCCTCAGAAGACTTCAGCTTACATCAGTCAATATGATGAGCACATCCCTGAGATGACTGTGAGGGAGATTCTCGATTTCTCGGCTCGCTGTCAGGGAGTCGGAATTCGCCTAGGTAAACAACATCATCTATGTACAAATGTTTACACATGTATGAAGCTTAACTATCAGTTGCTTAATTATCATCAATGAATGTACACTTAAAGAGATGGTGATTTTGGCACATATATTCTGAAGAGATGATGGAGGAAGTAAGCAGAAGAGAGAAGCAAGCTGGGATTGTCCCTGATCCTGATATCGACACTTACATGAAGGTGATCATCCTTTTATTGGGTTCTTCAAGCAACTTCAGAATATTTCGCTTCTTTGCCAAGTTAAAGGTTCTTAGACTTCTGGGATTGATGAACAAGAACCCTGTATCTCATTTTTTGTTGTCTTTGTTTTGCAGGCCATTTCAGTGGAAGGGCTAAGATCAAATCTCCAGACGGATTACATATTGAAGGTGAAATACTCTTTCTTTTCAAGCCAAACCAAACATATGTGTTTATCCTTTAGGATCATAAGAGAAATTTTGATGTTTTGCAATGACCAGATCCTTGGACTTGACATCTGTGCTGATACACTAGTTGGAGATGTCATGAGAAGGGGCATCTCAGGTGGTCAGAAGAAAAGACTCACTACAGGTATATATAGATAACAATGTGTTTCTTGACGATAATTCGAGCTGTTGAAAGAAGGTTAGGAACGGATTTAGAACATGGTACATGTTCCATTTAGAACATTCATCCCATGGGGTCTACTGCAACTGCAAATTCATCATTTCAATACTTGCACAAGTGGTATTTGAGCAAATTGGTGATAGTGCAGGGGAAATGATGGTTGGTCCAACAAGAGCTCTATTCATGGACGAAATCACAAACGGCTTAGACAGCTCCACCGCGTTTCGAATCGTTTCCTGTCTGCAACAAATGGTCCATATCACAGATGCCACAGTTCTGGTCTCGCTTCTCCAGCCAGCCCCCGAGACGTTCGTGCTCTTCGACGACTTGATTCTGATGGCAGAAGGCAGGATCGTGTACCATGGTCCGCGCCAACATGTCCTCGACTTCTTCATGGACTGTGGCTTCAAGTGCCCTGAGAGGAAAGGCGTTGCAGATTTCGTCCAAGAGGTCATTTCTGAGAAGGACCAGTCACAGTACTGGGATAGCACACAACATGTCCCTCACAGTTATGTCTCGGTTGAAGCATTCTGCAACAAGTTCAAGGCATCTACTTATGGAAAGAAGCTGGATGAAGAGCTTGCAGTGCCTTATGACACCAAGTCACAAACCAATGACACTGCAATATCTTTCAACAGATACTCACTTTCCAAGTGGGAGCTCCTCAGGGCTTGCTCCTCAAGGGAATGGCTTCTCATGAGAAGGAATTCCTTCACCTACGTATTCAAAACAGTCCAGCTCGTGATCACTGCCGTGATTGCAATGACTTTGTTTCTACGAACCCGGATGGATGTCGATGTTGTCCATGCGAATCTCTACATGGGTTCCTTGTTCTATGCCCTTATTATATTGGTTACAGATGGGATACCTGAGCTGCCCATGACTATCCAAAGGCTTGAAGTGTTCCACAAGCAAAAGGACTTGTACTTCTATCCGGCTTGGGCTTATGCAATCCCTGCAAGTCTCCTCAAAATCCCCATTTCGTTGCTGGAATCTCTGGTTTGGACGTGTCTCACTTACTATGTCATTGGTTATAGCCCAGAAGCTGTGAGGTGATGGAGCTTTTCAGTTAGTGGTTTGCACTTGAAGTTCCTTTTACGAATCTCGAATTGGACTGATGTTTGTGCTCACCCTTGTTGTAGGTTCTTTCGCCACTTCCTTATACTTTTCGGTGTGCATTTGAGTTCGGTATCCCTCTTTCGATTCATAGCCTCGGTCTACCAGACTCATGTTGTTTCCATGGCTGCTGGTAGCTTTGCCATACTGTTCTTGTTGATGTTTAGTGGCTTCGTGATTGCAAAGCGTAAGAGGCTCGTTTGTCGTGGTCATTTCTTTCTACATTTAGATTCACCATAAGTCCTGTGAACAGCATGAAGATTTGCTTGTTGTGTTGCAGCATCCATGCCCATTTGGATGAAATGGGTATTCTGGATTTCCCCTGTCACATATGGAGAGATAAGCCTAAGTTTGAACGAGTTTCTCGCCCCGAGATGGCAAAATAAGGTATATGTACTTCACTTCTCATACCATGGATTGATTGATCTCCATTCCTTGCCATTCTAGCCAAATGATCATCTGTAACCTGTACTCCTGGTTTGGTGCATCTCTTTTGTTAACAGATGGCATCTGGGAACGTGACCATAGGAAATTCCATCCTTGAGAGCCGAGGACTTAACTTCCAAGCCGATCTCTATTGGGTTTCAGTTGGAGCATTGTTTGGATTCACGTTGTTATTCAACATTGGTTATGTCTTGGCTTTGAGTTACCTAAAATGTAGGCACTTCTTCTGCAAGTTATTTTCTTTTAGATTCTCAATCCTTCACCAATCACTGAGAATTCCTTACTGAATTTGGACAATGATATGAAACTACAGCTCCAGGCGCGTCATCTCATCCAATTATATCTCAAGAAAAGCTGTCCAAAATCCAGGGAAGTGATGGAGAGGATTCCAGAAATGGCACAGCAATGAAAGATCCAGAACCAATTATCCAGTCAAGTAAAGGTATAAAGTATGAATGATACTACATTTTTCTTAACTAGAGCTTTCAGCAGTAAGGTAATTAGTGTGTTCTTTCAATGGCATTGAAAACAGGTAGAATGGCATTACCTTTCACACCACTGACAGTTGTTTTTGAAGATGTTCAGTACTTTGTTGACACTCCCATGGTAATCCAATCTATTACCCTTTGAGAAAGAACAGTTCTTGAAGATTCATTCTTATATATATGCAGCCAGCAACCTTTTTATTCATCCTCCATCTTTCTAGGAAATGAGAGAAAGGGGATTCACTAGCCCAAGACTTCAACTTCTTTCTGATATCACTGGGGCATTAAGTCCTGGAGTACTTACAGCAATGATGGGAGTGAGTGGTGCTGGAAAGACAACCCTTCTAGATGTTCTTGCAGGCAGGAAAACCAGTGGCTACATTGAGGGACAGATCAAGATTGGAGGGTACCCTAAAGTTCAAGAAACATTTGCTAGGGTTTCTGGTTACTGTGAGCAGACTGATATCCATTCTCCTCAGATAACAGTGGAGGAATCAGTTATGTTCTCTGCCTGGATGCGGCTATCACCCGAGATAGACTCCAAAACTAAAGCTGTAAGTTAGATCAAGAGGCAATACTACTAAGATTATAGATATCATTTTCAAATGTTATTGTTTGGTTTTTACTTGACGAATTCATTTGATGTTTCCAGGAGTTTGTGAATGAGGTGATAGAGACCATAGAGCTTGAGGGGGTAAAGGATGCTTTGGTTGGGATCCCTGGGGTTAATGGTCTATCAACCGAGCAGAGAAAACGACTGACCATAGCAGTGGAGCTCGTGGCCAATCCATCAGTCATATTCATGGATGAACCCACAACAGGATTGGATGCAAGATCTGCTGCAATTGTAATGAGAGCAGTTAAAAACATTGTCGATACCGGTAGAACAATTGTTTGCACCATCCATCAGCCGAGCATTGACATATTCGAGTCCTTTGATGAGGTAAACCAGAAAAAACCCTAGGGAAAAGAACGATTTCCATACCACCATACTAATGTGCATGAAAGTTTCTGCATTCTCCTTTGTCAGCTCATTCTATTAAAAGCCGGTGGAAGGATCATATACTCTGGACCAATGGGGCACCACTCAAGTAGTGTGATAGAGTACTTTGAGGTTTCTGCTACATCATTGCTTTTCCTTTTATTCTTGCTTATCTATCACCCTCCATTGATGAGCTCATAATTGATCTTATTCTCTAACCTCAACACAGGGAATTGAAGGGATTCCAAACATCAAAAGAAACTATAATCCTGCAACATGGATGTTGGAAGTTACTTCGGAATCTTCAGAGGCTAAACTTGGAGTTGATTTTGCCTTGTTATACAAGCAATCAACCCTCTTCGAGTGAGTTCCAAAAATTTATGCCAGTATTGTCATTGTACTTATCAGACATTACACAGATACTAACCTGGTTGCTTCTGCAGAACTAACAAGGAGAAAGTGAGTAGAATGAGCAGCCCACCTCCCGGCTCAAGAGATCTCCACTTCACTACCGAATTCTCGCAGAACGGATGGGGCCAATTCAAAGCTTGCCTGTGGAAACAACACTTATCTTACTGGAGGAGCCCTGGGTATAACTTAATGCGACTGCTCCATACATTTGCTTCGGCTCTGATCTTTGGGTTGTTGTTTTGGGACCAAGGCCAGAAAATGTAAGTAAAAGCCTTTTTTCCTTGCACACTAGAGGTTTCAACATTGCTACTAACTAACCATCTCATGTTCCTCTTCCTTTATATTTGTTCGGATGCCAGAAACGACCAGCAGAATTTGTTCAACATGTTTGGTTCAATGTACATTGGGGTGATCTTCCTGGGGATAAACAACTGCTCGTCGGTGCTCCAATATGTCGCGACAGAGCGAACCGTGATGTACAGGGAGCGGTTTGCAGGGATGTACTCCACTTGGTCGTTCTCGTTTGCACAGGTATAACAAGAAAACATGAACAAGCATTTAGAAGTCCTGCTTAGCTCAGTTTTGTTCGATGAAAATTAAACATCTGACATTGCCAGCAAATCCATGTGACAGGTTGCTGTAGAAATCCCGTATCTGTTTGCACAAGCTCTAGTATTCACAGCAATCACATATCCGATGATTGGATACTACTCGTCAGCAACGAAGGCTTTCTGGTTCTTCTATGCTATCTTTACTTCGCTGATGTACTTCAACTATCTGGGGATGTTGCTTGTGTCGCTGACACCAAACTTCATGTTCGCTGCCATCTTCCAATCTGTTTTCTACGCTAACTACAACCTCTTCGCCGGGTTCCTGATTCCTCGACCTGTAAGTCAAGCCGAAACCACACTCCAAAGACCATTCTTTCGGCTTCTACAGGACTGATAAAAATGGGTACATTTTCGGTGTATGGTTGCAGAGGATACCAAAATGGTGGATATGGCTTTATTACTTGACCCCAACTTCTTGGTCCCTCAATGGACTGCTGACTTCACAATACGGAGACATACACAAGGAGCTGACGGTTTTTGGGGAAACCGAGACGGTTGCTGGGTTCCTGAAGAGTTACTTTGGATTCGACCATGATCAGTTGGGTCTGGTAGCTGCTGTGCTCATTGCTTTCCCGCTTGCCTTCGCTTCTCTTTTCGCGTACTTTATGGGAAGATTCAACTTCCAGAGAAGGTAGTAGTACTGCACAAGCCGAATGGAACGTCCTGCAGAAGCAGCTGGAAATCTGTGATGTATAGACGCCAAGAGCATCGATCTAAAGTAAACGAACGAGATAGCAAGATACAGACCCACGTCGACCTATTTGTGTGTATGTATATATTCTTAAATGTCATAAGAGTACTAAAGCAATTTCACCAAAGAAAAGCTCGAGAGTTGTTCCATTACACAAGCCAAGCATATTACAAGTTCAGCACTCAAGGTCAAGTTATCCCACAAGAGAGAGAGATGGCCATAGCACAACAAAATCTGACCTCCATTCACAATGTACATCCGGATCTTCAGCTAGCCGATTCATCAGCGGCTGCCTTTCCAGCTAGTTCCTGAATCTCAGGGGCGGCACCACCTTTAACGGCACTGTTGCTCGTAACAACACTTTCTGTTGCAGGAGAGTCGGGATCAATAGCTTCGTCAATGACTTCTTCAATTATAACTGTTCCTCCGGGTTTCGAAGTATTCAGGTTAGGGGTACTGAGACCAGAAACAGTCCCTGATTGCTTCGGCTGATTGAGGGCGTGACAGTGCGGGCAGTAGTAAGTAATGTATGGGAAATCCTCTTTCCTAGCAAGCCCTACAGAAAAAGAAATTACAACATTAGAGAAATGTTCTTCTTCAGAATTTCTCGATGGGTGCGTTTGTTTTTGCTAAACAATAACTTTAAAAAAAAAGAGCGAATACAAATAGCAACAACGAGTTGCATGAAGTACTCACCATTGTGCATATGGCAGTTGCCACATATCAGTGCAAAAGAATGAGCCGGATCCTCGCCTACCAATAACGCAGCCAACCGAGCAATCCATCCCCCATCACTCACAGGAGCTGCCTGGGGGTTGTGATGCTCGACAACAACCAGTTCTTGCTCGGAAATGGGGCCTTCACTTAGCATGGATCGTGGTGTATTATCATTGGAAGGATGCACCGGAGTGCTCCCCGCACTTCTGGATCTGACTTGTCCTTGTTTTCTGTGTCGAAGACCGCTTGATTGAACAAGCTCAGCATCACTGCTTTTTGCTGTGGATTCGGTAAAACCAGATTCTTCGCCAACATACAACTTCAACCCTGATTCAGCACCCAGCTTAGATGCCAGGACACTTGCAGCTGCAGCCTTTGCTGCTGGATCTGTATCATATCTCTGGAAAGAAGGAAAAAAAACAAGAATAATATATGAAATCACACTCAAGCTAAGGCAAAAACTTACGGGCCTTCTTGATGAGAACAAATTTTGTGAAAACTATTCATATCAGCTTATCAGAGAGGAAGTGTATAGCAGTTTTCTTCTCCTAAGCTCATACAGCTACGAGACATCAGAAGTTGCTATACTATCCCACTCCAGATAAAGGGCGTTCTAGTTCTACACTACACTATCTCGTCAACAAGCATCATAAAATTAACTCAAGTGATAATTAAACAACTTCCAGAAAATCTACAAACTGGTTATTGCACAAAGTCCTTGGAGCTGGTTCTTTGTTTCTAGTCGACCTGAAATTGGCTACGTAACAATCTCCAATTTAAATAATTGTTGAAATCCAAGGCCAACAACAATGAAGAGGAAATAACCAGTCATTCAAGCTAATGATCCCCCCCCCCCCCCCCCCCCCCACAAATAGTCAAGCTAATGATTTAACCTAAAGCAAACTCAAAACTATATAATAAGAGACAAAACAAAATCCACCATGCAGGAAAGAGAAAATAGGTAGCTCGTCAAGATTCAAAGTAAATCTTCAGATCATCAACAATACATATAATCAAAGGGAAAACTTAAACAATTGAAAAGTTCTTAATAACTCATAGAGCAAACATGGCCAATTGAAGTAGAACTTGTCCAGACTACCTGAATGAGTTGCTGGGTGGTGTAATAATTGGTCTTCTCTTTCAGCTCATCAATTTTTTGTTGCCTTTCAGCCCGAAGCTTCTCTAGTGTTTTCTGGTCCCTGCGGTCACCTGTATGATTGAACCAAAGAGAACTTGATTAATGATTGAGAATTCCATCTTAATATAGAGAAACGAAATCAGAAGATACAGAAACAGCCACACGAGAGACCCAGTCGCCAACCAGAAAATAGAGTATCAACAAGACAACAACAACTAAACACAAATGATCTTTCAAGGAGCCATCTTGAAACAAAAAATGTGATGCATGCAAGTAGATACGGCTTAAGTTAGCACAAACACATTACTTGACCGATCACCAATCAAATGCCAGACTGGACTTAATAAACTATGGCATGAATGAACATAATTTTCAGAATAGTTACCTGAGAAGTATAAAAGCAGTTTATGCCAGTCAAGAAAAAACATAGACATATTTCACTTCAGTCATTAAAAGAAAAGTCAGCGACAAATTTCAGTCATCAAAAGATGCATAGAGGCAAAATAAGCATTTGGATAACGAAATTTCAGTACCTATTGTGTCTATTTTCACATAGTGAAGCTCCCTTACTAGAGTGGGATTGGTAAACTAATTCCGTCTTAAATTTTGTCATAATTTTCCATTCGCCACTTCAAAGAGTAGCTGAAAGATTTACCTATGAGGTTCTTATACACGGTGACTAATATCCCCACACTGCAATCAAACAACACTGCTTTATACAGCACAAGCTCATTCATCTGTGGCCCATATATTTCAAATTCTTTATAGGTAGTAAGGCATGGAAGGATTCAGAATAGAAACATACACAGATCCACAATCACAACATGTATACAACAGCATCCAAATGATCAGAGGATTGGAAGTCCACTACCAAAACAATCTCATCAAGAAGCAGTCTGCAGAGATCAATCAATTGTCCCAGACTTGAACGCCACGTGAAAATTTCACCCATTAAATGACTCATATGATCCACCAAAAAAAAGGACTCATATGAACTCATGAAGTACCATAAAGAATCTTAACTATGCAACTGTTGAGTTCAGCAACAATGAGTTCAGCTTAGTCAGGATTACAGTCTCCAAGTATTCTCATTACAACTAGATTCCTAAAGCTCTGACAGTCAAAAGAACCCACCCACCGATTACATTGAAGAAATGTTCCAGGGGAATGGGTTAAAACACTTACACATCTTTGTGAAGTTCACAAAACCAGAGTAAGCAATAGAGGAGAAAGCCGGCAAGAGAAACATCGGCATAACGCGAAATGCTCTCATCTTCCAATCCAAATCCTCTGTTCTTGTAGTCATGATAGCATAGCCCACCGCAATTACCTGAATTATGAGAAGAGTCACATTTCACAACCATAAGAAGGGAAAGCTGAAAAACGGAAGTTACAGTGAAGCCCGACGATCACACAGCAAGAGCAAACATAATACGATATTCAAGTTGCTGAGGCGGAATTATGGCGTTGAAAAGAACGAGAGAGAAATGAAGGAAGAACCTCGAATAGAACCGAGAAGGCAATAAGGTTCCTGGTCATCTTCCTCCAAGTGAGAGATCGCTTCTTCATTCTGGTTAACACAGCAGCTTCCTCCTTAGAAATGTATTTCAGCCGCTTCTCAAAATCGTCGCCGCCGTGTAGCCTAAAAATAGTATTCCAAACCCTAGACATAATCCCCTTGCGCTTCTTCTTATCGGCATTAACCGCCTCCTTGGACTCACTCTCCACCTTGCTGCTCGGCTTCTCCTCCGCCATTGTTATTCACCCTCTCCGATCGCCCCTCCTCCTACAGGTCGTAATTCCGCTGGCTTGATTCTCGACTCGCAAAATTGAATTACCGACGGGAACAATCACGAGGAACGGAGACCGATGGATAAGGCGAGAACGACGGAGGAACCAACAAGATCGCAGAAAACGCGGAAGGAAGTACAGGAAACGAAACGGATCGTGCCGCCGCCGGCAGCACAAGAAAGCTCCCCTTGCTTGGAAGTATCAGTTCAGATCGCTCCGGCGAAGGAGGCGACGGCAGAGAAAAATCCGGCGGGCGGAGGCGGAAATGGAAAGAGGAGGAGAATGTACCGTCCGTGAAAGTGGGAGAAACCCGGTGGCGGTCGGGGTGAAGTGGTAGAAAAAAAAGAACGAGGCGAGAGAGAGCGAGAGATCCGACTTCGATTTTTGGGAAAGATTTTGGTTTTCTTTTTATAATTACTGACTGTATTGTTTTTTGGTTTGTTTTCCTTCCGCTTGCGGGGGACTACTTTTGTACGCGCAAAAGGCCTATTGTTTATTTAATTATTTCGTTTTTCCTCCCCTCCTACTACAACTAGAAACTTCGCCGGTGGCTTGATTTTGATTTGAAGGTGTGCCGCGTCGGCTCATCTGCCAACCGGAAAAGTTAAAAGGGTCAAACTTATTTTTGAAAATATATTATTTCGATACAATTTTTTAGTGCTTTTCTTATCTATTCCGCCGTACAAAAATTAGTGGTACATTGGTTCTTATGAAAGAATATTAATTAATATGTTTTTTTAGGATTTTTTAAAACAGTTTTGTACCCTATAATTTTTCTTTAATTACTCTATTATATAAATAATTAGGGTTATGCCTATTCAAAAAAAATTTAGATTCTTTTTTATTAACCAAATCTATTGAATTACTAATAATCACTCAAATGTTAACTTCCGGTTAACAATTTTGTTAGTAATATTTGACTTGGCAACAAGATACTCATTACCCAAATAATTATGTCAACGATTCACAAGCGGTTGTATAACGATTAGCTATTGCGCCGCGAACCATCAAAAAATAATTAATCATATTTGTATTGATTAAATTCTTTTCAGGTGGTCAAAATGATTTTGCCACTACGGAGTTTTACAAAATTTTATTGTTTTCTCTTTAATTATTATAGTTTAGTTTCGACAGTTTCGTCTCACTATTAGACATCATTGCATAACATCAAGGTTGTCAACCCGCGGGTTGATCCGGACCCGGTCGAGCTAGTGGGTCAAGGGTTAATGGGTCAACCGTTTTAGCCTGATTTGGCCCGGAAATATAGAAAGAGTCATTATATTGTATTTTATCCTTATAAATTATATCAAATCTTATCTAACATATGAGTTATAACATATAATATTACACCAAAATAACATATCGTACTTAGATCCAACATATAGTGAAAATTCACACACACTTATATAATATAAATATTCAAATGTTCAACTTAGTATTCCAAAGATTGAGTTTTTTTTTTTTTGTCATAGATAGATCGTAATAGATAGGGTGTTACAATGCGGTGAAAAAGAAAGAGCGGTAGTCAACCAAATGGGTTGCTACCGATGCAAGGGCCGTTTGTGCCACGCAATGGGCAGCCCTGTTAGTATGCCTAAAAACATAAAAAAACGAATAAACGCAAAAAAAGTCTTCTTTCGGCGAACTTCTTGAAGAGCCTTCTATTAGCCGATTTATGCTGAATATAAAACCTGCAAAGCAAGACCAAGCAAAAATACCAAGCACAGGTGCATAATTAATATGTCATTGAGTAAGAATTAAAAGTCTTAAAATGAACGTGGTTAGGAACCGCTTTTGTAATTGTAACCGCCTATCTACTTGTAACCGTCTGAAGCATTCCACATCTAGGATTGGAGGCTCCGAGTTTGTAACTGCCACCGAAATTTGGATGCCGGAATTGGAAGCACGAAGAGGGAACGACATCGGTGCCATTGCTATACACTGGCCATTGCCAGCCCTTGTGTCGCTGTAGCAGAAGCTCCGCCATTGATGAGGCCTGCAAAACAAACAAATGAAATATGGCCACTTGACGACACTCATTATCTCCCTAAAAAGGGAGTCAATCAGGCCCATAAGCCACTGATGGTAATCCGAATACCAAAACAGAGAGCTAAATCGTCGCCGTCTCTACCGCCGGTAAACCGTGTATCCTTGTCTTCAAGTGGATCTGCATCTGTTTAGTTGAAAAATCCAACCCAACCAAACAGCCCTCAAAACAATCAGCGCTCCGCTGTTAGGTTGAAGCCGTCGGCACCCACCCCTGAGAACGGCCGCTGCTCTGATCCACTGAAGCGACCAGATGGAGAAGAAAATAAGGAATTGTGCCACCAATCGCCTTCCTCTGGAAACTTAATTCCCTTCCCTAATCTAGCAGCAGATCGTTGGACCTGCGCCGTTGCGCCGTTCCAGTCGTCTTCTCTACCGGCGGTGCAATCTGGCGGCGGGGAAACTTTTCCCAACCGGCTGTGCAGTTTCAGCCCATACCGTAACCGTCCCGTCTCAACAGTGACACGAAGTGGTTACTATTTCGTCGAATCGCCAGCAGCCTTGGACGAGGGCAATTTCCGGGTTGTTGACGAGGAAGGGAATGGCGCGGCGGAGGCACTCCGGCTCCGGCTGAAAATCGACGTCGAAGATGGCGACGTAATCGCAGTGCTTTGCCTTTCCAAAGATTGAGTTAGGCGAAAAGAAAAATTGGAAAATATGCGCATTTCGCAAACTAAAAAAAAAATGACACAATTTGACCTCCAACCCGGTACCTTATAGCGGTCGGCCCGGCGGGTGCGTGCAGCCCGTTTTTCTCACCGGGTCAGGGTCAAATTGGGTCAACCCACGGGTTGACAACCTTGCATAACACCCTATATATAGTTTCTTATTTCAGTATCTCTTATGTTAATATTTAATACAACACAAGGCTTTCAAGTATAGGCAGTTAGTTCCAATAGGGCATAAGACCATTGCAGCTCTGTTTACCATCAAAAGGAAGAACAAACCTATTCCAAATACAGCAACATACTAAAAAGGACTTTACTTTTAGTTTTATGAACCCAAATGAACGAAAGAATCAATTTCAGTCAGTTTGCACATCTTCTTCCCTCAACTAAAAAAGAGAAACAATAACATCACAAATCTCCTGATGTTGTTCGTAGTTGTGGGTAGTAGTAGAAGCTTTAGTTGTCAAGCCTCTGCCTCTTCGTCGGACTTTCGTCGCCGCCGCCGCCGCCGTCGTAGCACGCATCATCCGACCGCCGGTGCTTTCTCAGGTAACGCTTAGCCATCTCCACGAGTCTTCTTCTCCTGTCGTCCATTACGAAACCGCTCGTTGCTTTCCGCGGCAGCGACGCGGTGCCTCCCGATCCTGCTTCTTCCCTCGCGATCCCTGGAATGCGGCAGCCACCGTCGATTTTCTCCTCCTCCTTCTCCGACGAAGATTCCGGCTGCGGATTGCGTCCTGATTCTGCTACAGCAATCACATCGGAATTTGAGGGCGGAAGCACTTTGACCTCACTATTGACCCGACGGCGATCCCAATTGGCGGAAATTTCTTTCGCGTTCTTAGTCGTAGTCGGCTGAACAGGAGGAGCAGAGTACTTCTTCTCCTTCTTGTTCTTGCGTTGGCAGCGGGGATCAGCGACGGAGATGGCGGAGTCGGTGATGTCGAACACTCCTGATTGGGTCCTGAAAAGGAGCCCGTGGCTACCCATTGCTGGGCAAGGGAGCGCCATTCTTGGAAATTCGTGGGGGCAGAGCAGAACAGAACAGAACAGAGCCGATCGAGCAATGAATTTGGAAAGCGGATGTTCTTGAACTGTGAAAGTAAAAGTGCAAGTGAAGTGATGGAGCAGCAGCGGCTAAAGGGTTGATTTCGTTATGGGAAACTAGATTTATAGGCAACACTAAGCGGTTTCCAAATCCTGGAAGGATGGGTATTCCTAAAGCTAATCCTACTCGGAAAAGGATTACTGCAGTGGCCACTTAATTTCTCTTTCTGACTTGGCGGAAAATATAGTTGTGGCCAACTAAGTGAAATAAACGAAAATAAACGAAAATAATTCTTTTATAATAAATAAAAAAACACTTTATGAATGAAAAATAGTGATGATAGAATGAATAATTTGTGTTTAAATAATTGAAAGATCAAAAATTGCACCTATTTAAATTTTCATTGGGGTGAAACTATGGTGGGAATAAGAGAAATACAAATAGATATTGAAGAAAATTGAGATAGAGCGGGTAAAGAATAAGGCGGGCAAGAGGGGGCAAGTTAGAAGTAGTAACTCATGTCCTACCCCACGCTACAGCAGGTCGGGAAATACTCGACGAAGCGGGTTCACATTGTCATCCCTACCTGATAAATGGTTTAAGAGAGCTATGGATCTAGTTAGTGATGGCAATAGGGCGGGGTGAGTACCTCAATACCCATCCTCGTCTCGCATTAAACGCGAATCAGGACGAGTATTACTCGCACATGAATGGGACGGGTAGAGACGAATTTCACTTTAAATTAATTATAGTAGCAAAATCATAACTCACAAAGATATATGGTTAGGGTATGTGGTTAGTGATGGTAATAGGGCGGGGTGAGTACCTCAATACCCATCCTCGTCTCGCATTAAACGCATATCACGACGAGTATTACTCGCACATGAATGGGACGAGTATTACATGCATAGGCTTTTTTTTGGGTAGAAAGATCGACGCACAAGGCATCTAATTCATAGAAACAGAATGTTCATGGGCAATGCCCATTACATCATGTCGAAGCCAATAAACTAATCCCCTATCCCTTACATTAGATTATGTGTACCAAAACTAAGATCATGGCCCAAACTCGCCAAGTGGTCGGCAGCAAAATTGGCCTCCCTGTACACATGAGAAATGGTAACCTCCCAGTCGAGGTTCAAAAGAATACTAATTTGTTGTGCAATGCTCCCATGGCGATGGTCGTCATTCTCGCACTTTTTAATAATATCAAAGATTAATCTTTCGATATCCCTTCTTCCAAGCAAGCTTCAGTCCCTCGGTTGCTCCCTTCAGCTCAGCAGCTGTTATAGAGCAATTCCCCAGGTTACAAGCAAAAGCATCCTTGCAGTTCCCAAGATGGTCTCTCAAGAGTCCGCCTGCAGCAGCACTACCGGTCTGGGGAATCACAGATCCATCGGATTGGATTTGGATCCAGCCTTCCCTTGGAGGTTCCCATCCCACTTGCTTGACAAATCTGACTCTGGTCTTCATGTTGGTCACTTTCTGTACATTTTGATAGGCTTGCCAAACAATGTTGAACCAGGCGTTAATCCTTGCAATGAGTCCCTCTTTTGAGAAAATCTTCCCATCCATCACCTCCTCATTCCTCTGCTTCCATAGGTGCCAGCAAACGATTCCAAACTCCATTCCTGTATTCTCATCACTCAGTTTCGTAATCATCCAATCTTGCATAGGTAGGTTTTGTATTCTTCTCCGCCATCTTGTTGTTCATCCTCTCCCATATGCTTTTGGCCTTAGTGCGGCTTCGAAGGATGTGCTCAATT